TCTTTTTCTTCTTTGAAATAATTTCAAATACCCTATCTACCCATTTACAGGCATGCTTCAAAAATAAATTTTAATAGCTGAAATACAATTGGCAAAATCTTTAGCACCCCAATTAGTGCAGGCACCTTAAGAGGGAACCTAATGGATTTGCCAGTGCATGGCAATCCCACCTGGGTCTAAGCCCAGAGTGATGATTATGCTGCTCCTTGCTCATCCTTGCCTGGACACCAAAGTTGTGCCAAGAGATGTGCCCTGTCAGAGCCATTCTCTGATGGCAGGCAGCATGAAGGTTCAGGCATTGATGTGAAGGACCAAGAGAATTCTTTCTTCTGGCACTAGGATCTGACAGCACAAAGTGTCTGGGTTGCTTAGTGGCTCTAATTCTGAATAAGGAGGGAAATGCATGTGTATGCAGAGAGCAGATCCCTCCTCTAGGAGAGAGTAGAAAGCCCTTTCTTGTCTACAGTCCTGGACTGTATCCTTTGACCTCTATCCTGCACCTAGTTATCAGGCCTACTTTGAGTCCTTTGTCTTCAGTGGTACCATGGGTGCATCACCAAGGACCTCTAAGAACACACGCTTATGCCTCCAGTGCTTACTTCAGTGAAATATAGAAAGCAGAAAAGCCATTTTTTAAAAATTGTATGTGTTCTCTTGTAAGCTTGGTTCCTTGATTTGATTTCAAGAGGTAGGAAATTCGAATGCCAGCATCATAGTCACGCGAGCCACATGATGTAGTGGTTAAAGTATTCGATTAGGATCTGGGAAATCCAGGTTTGAATCCCCACTTATGCCGTGGAAGCTTGCTGGGTGAGCTTGGGCCAGTCACATTACACTCAGCCTAACCTACCTCACAGGGCTGTTGTGAGGATAAAACAGAGGAGAGGAGAATGATGTAAGCTGCTTTGGGTCCCCATTGGATAAAAAGACGGGATATAAATAAAGCAAATCATTCCTTATATATAATTGAGTAGTGGGGTGGCACTTTCTGAACATTCCACACGCTCCTAAATCAGTTAACTCCACAATGTGTCACTCAGAAGCTGTCCCTATACACTGGCTGTGTTGCCTGAGTCCCTCCCGCAGTGCACTCCATCAGCCATTGGCCCATCAGCTGCCACTCAAGAGTACTCGAGTGCCATTGGCCGGGTGCTGGGTCTGCTCCACTTCCCTGCTCACTCCAGCCACTGTTCCCTGTCAGAATACACTCTCTCTCCTGAGGGAGACACTTCACCTGCTTGGCTCCTCTGTGGAACTAACTTTTCCCTCAGTGGCTGTTGGTAGGCAATCAAGCTTGGTTCTGTCAGTAAAAGGCCCTTTCCATGCCTATTTTGGCCTTTGGGAGAAAACTTATTGGGGCTAGTCCTGACTAGGGTTGCCAGCTCCAGTTAGGGAGATTCTGTATCTAAGGAAACCAGAGTCTGGGGAGGGGAGAGACCTCATCTGAACAGAATGCTATAGAGGCTACCATCCAAAGCAGTTAATTTTCTTCCGGGGGAGAGAGAGATCTGTTGTCTGGAGTTCAGTTGTGATACCTGGTGATCTTCAGGCTCCACCAGGAGGTTGGCTGCCCTAGGTGCAGCAGTCAGAGTGCGAGACCCAGGTTCTTGCTGTGGAAGCTGACTGGGTGATTTTCGACCAATCACAGACTTTCAGCCTAACCTACCTCACAGGGTTGTCGTGTAAGTCAAAAGGGGGAGAGCTGCTTTGGTCCCCATTGCAGAGAAAGACTACTTTTCCTCCAGGGGAACCATTGTTGCCAATCTCAAGGTGAGGGCTGGAGGTCACTCAGAATTACAACTGCTCTCCAGATGGAGAAAACGGTGGACTCTATGTCCTTATACCTTGCTGAGATGGCTCCCCTATGACAGCCGATGTGACATAGCAGTGGGGGGGGAGATGGAAAGCTGAACAGTGAGGGGGGAATAAAGGTAGGTTGATGATTGGCTGGGAAGGAGATAGGGTTGCCAACTCCAGGTTGGAAATTCCTGGAGATTTGAGGGGTGGAGCCTGCAGAGGGGTGGGACCTCAGGCAGGTACAATGCCATACATCACTCAGAATTACAACTGCTCTCCAGACAGCAGAGATCAGTTCCCCTGGAGAAAATGGTGGGCTCTGTGTCATTATACCCTGCTGAGGTATAATGACACAGAGACAGCCAGTGCGATGTAGCAGTTAGCACTTCACAGGGTCTTCCAGCCCCAGGTTCTTCCTGTGGAAGTTGATTGGGTGATTTCAGACCACTCACTGACTTTCAGCGTAACCTACCTCACAGGGTTTTTGTGCAAATCTAAAGGGGGAGAGGAGAATGATGTGACCTGCTTTGGTCACCACTTTGGAGAAGGATTTGCCTTTACTAGGTAGAGGCTACAGGGAGAGGGGAAGAGATGAAAACCAGAAGTCAGAGGGGCAGATAATAGCAGGTTGATGATTGGTTAGGAAGGAGATAGGGTTGCCTACTCCAGGTTGGGAAATTCCTGGAAACTTGAGGGGTGGAGCCTTGAGAAGGTGGGGTTTGAGGAGAGGTGGGACCTCAGACAGGTACAATGCCATAAACTCCACTCTCCAAACCAGCCATTTCCTACTGGGGAACCATTGTTGCCAATCTCCAGGTTAGCGGTGGAGATCACTCAAAATTACAACCTCTTCTCTTCAGGTAGCAGAGATCAGTTCCTCTGGAGAAAATGGTGGGCTCTGTGTTATTATACCCTGCTGAGGTCGCCACAGCAAATTGACAGCGTGCCCAAGGCTGGGGCACTCTCCCAGAGCCCTTTCTAGAGCTTGTTGTATTTATTTCCACAACGAGCCTTATTCCTAGTTAAGTAAATAAATGCATAACCCCACCTGTAACAGCCCCAGAGATTCACTGTTGATCCTGTTGGGGACCCTCATGTGTAGCCCATCAGTACATGTCAGTCTTCCCCAGTGGGGCAAACAGGAATTCCCCAGCACCATTTCAGGTTGGAAAAGTGGCTTCTGCATGCAAACCATGGCAACAATCCAAATCAGGCCCCCATGTGCCTGGGAACTGTGTTCTGAGCAGAGACTCTAGACATGCATCTGTGCCAAAACCTGCAACAGCCGCATGGAAGGCATGAGGACTTGATAAACGTGGATCAGCCCTAGGAGGTTTTAAGCAAATGCTTCAAATGTGAGGTGTGAAAGCAGCAAATGTATTATTACACAGGTGTGCTTGTCGAGGGCCTGTGAACGACCGTGTCTGCTTCTTTTTGAGCATTCTGAGAAATTTGTGGCACAATCCTCAGGCCTTTCTCTTTCCTGCCATTGACCTCCCCTGTACTGCTCCTTTGCTAACACTTGTTTTTGAGCAACACGGAGGTCAAATGATCAGCTGAGTACAGTAGCTGAAACAGAAGAAACCTGATGTTTACTGATGTTTACTCACACACAGGTCAGGGTTTAAGCTGGGCAGAGGATCTAGAACAGGAAGCTGGAGAAGGTCACCTGATCCTGGAAGTAAAATACTAGCTGCAGTGCAAGGGAGGGTCACAATTAGCCAAGTGTGGGGCTGATACAGAGGGACTTCAGAGCATGTGGCAGTCATTTAAAATCCTATTAATGCTGTAATTCATCCATCAGGCTGAGCTATTAATGCCATGTGCCAAACAGGACTGCTTACATATCACTGCTGTGTAAACCCACTGAAATACGGGTGTCTTGGCAGGGAAACAAATTCTGTCCATGGTAACTGTTTAGCCCCTGTCAGGGCTGACAGTTGAGTGGAAAGCAGGCATGCAAAAAGTAAGCAAATACGTACAATGACAAATTGGGTGGGTCTCATGCAATGAACTGCACACATTGCGAAGACGGGCAAGGGTGGGAGGTTATATAAGATCAGGTGAAACCCTTGTTTCATTCTTGTGTCACGGGCTAACCTCTGAACTAAAAGTGGTCGGACATCCTCTGGCTCACAGCTTTGGTGGCACCTCAGAGCAGCAGAGGCCAGGAAAGCATGGCCATGGTGGCAAAGAGTAAAGTATCTGAGTTTGGCTGTCATGTCCCTGGTTCAAGCCCCCCTCCCTCGTACCTTACAGTATCTGCTTAACATGAAATGCTCGCCACAAGAGTAACCACTGTCCCTACCCTGGAAAATCTGCAGATGAGGACAGGTCTACAGTGAACTTTTAATGGCACCTTTATCACATCAGTGGCTTGGTTTGACGGAGAGAACCTTTGTGTGATTTCAAGACACTTATGCAAAAATTCCCAGTGGATTATACACCTGGTAAACGTTTCCTTGAAAATTTAAAATGTGGAAATTCTACACAAATGCTGGTAATGTGCCAACTTCTTTGAATGATCCTATGTTTTCACAATTTGCCATTCATCATCTGATAAAAAACCCATGCTTTCCTTGGTCGGCTTTGTCTTGTTCTGAAATTGTCGGTTTTTGTTTCTTCTGTCTGTGGATACAAATCCTTGTTTCCTAATGTGCCGTACACATACAGTGAGCCTTTGTCCATCTGAAAGAAATCGGCTAAATGGCATCATTTTCATGAATTTCAGGACCGCCTCTTTTTCGTCATGGAGTATGTCAATGGGGGAGACCTAATGTTTCAGATTCAACGTTCGCGCAAATTTGATGAGCCTCGTTCCCGCTTCTATGCAGCAGAAGTCACATCAGCTCTCATGTTTCTCCATCAACATGGCGTCATCTACAGGTACTTTCTTTTGGGGTTTGAAATAAAGGATTCCAGAGGCTCTTGCTTTGATTTTGGCTGAAATCCCCTGTCTCTTAGCAACCAGATTGGCTGTTTGTTTCTGGTTGCTTCCACAGAACGTTTTTGGGGGGGGGGGGGGAGAAGACTGTTTATCATTCCAAATATTAACATCTGAATAGTCTCTGCAACTGTCGCCAGCTGTGGATGCCAGTCTTGTATTATAAGACAAGTAAAGCTTTTTTAAAAAGCTTGGCACACTGTGACCTAGAGTTGACTTTGGTTGCAGCTAAGTGCAATCTCTTCAGTTTTTCCCCTCTGCCATGGATTTCCTCTCATTTTCAGACTCCCTGCCACTTCCTGAGTTTGTTTGTCCTACTTGTCTCCAGTCTGATTGAGCCTGGGTAATCATTTTGGGGAAGGTTTTTGTACGTGGTACCCTTCCTCTTGACTGAGAGGGCAAAGCCTCGGCCTCTGACAGGAAGCCCCTTGTTGCAGACCATTCAGGGTCACAGCGCTCCGGCGCGGGCCCTGGAAAGGTGGCAATGGGCCTCCTCAGGCCTCCCTGGGGCTGCAGCACTCCAGCATGGGCCCCAGGAGGCCAGCGACAGGCCATAGCATGGGGAGCTGGGGGCAGGGCTTGCTGCCACTGCCATTTTGCCAGCTCCTGGTCTCCAAAAGACCCAGAAGAACCCTGTCCAATCAAGATGATTAGGGGGATGGAGCACCTTCTCTATGAGAAAAGGCTAAAGAGTCTGGGACTTTTCAGTTTAGCAAAGAGACAACTAATGGAGGGTGTGATAGAGGTTTGTAAATTTATGCATGGGGTGGAGAGCCGACAAAGAGATCTTTTTTCTCTCACACACAAAATACTAGAATTCAAGGGCATCCAATGAAACTGATGGGCAGTAGGTTCAGGACGGACAAAAGGAAATATTACTTTAGAGAGAGAGTGATTAAAATGTGGAATTTGCTGCCAGGGGATGTAGTGATGGCCACATGAATAGACAGCTTTAAAAGGGAATAAGGTAGATTCATGGAGGATAAGTCAAATCAGTGACTACTAGCCATAGTGACTGAGGGGAATCTCCATATTCAGAGGCAGTCAACCTCAGAATCCCAGGGCCAGGAGGCAACATCAGAGGAAGGCCTTGGCCTCTATGCCTAGCTGTTGGCCCTCCAGAGGAACTGGCTGGCCACTGTGTGAGACAGGATGCTGGACTAGGTGGACCACTGGTCTGATCCAGCAGGGCTCTTCTTATGTTCTTAAACTGATCCCAATGTTTGTGGGTCGACTGCCAAGAAAATCAGAAGTAAGTTGAGTGTGCAGAAAAGCCCATAGTCACTGCATTATTCAGACCTCACAATAAACAGGTTTGTCCTTGAAGCTGTTGTTCTTACCCCTGCTGCTCCCCTTGCACACTTGGAACAATTAAAGGCTTTGATGTTTGGGAAGTGTTGAATCAAACTACCATAGACCTGCATAAATCAGAGTTTGTTCCCCCCCTCACCCGGAATTCTGAACTGAGTCTTAGAATCCAGTTTGTGTGAAATAGGCACTCCAACTTGCTATGTCCCATGAGGTGAGCACACAGGAACAATTTGTGCCCACTATGGACAAACCTATGCTTGTCATGGTATTTGGGTATAGTCAATGTCTTCAGCATCCTTGAAAAGGATCCAATCTGGGCATCCAAAGATTCTGTAATTAGTGTTGCCAGTGATTTAACTTGGGACCTTCTCTGTCTCTGCCACTGAGCCATTGATTTCTTCTTTCACATCTCTGGGTTGAGTCTCCGATGCAGCACCTGGAGGCCGGCAATGATGGAATGATATAAAATGAACCTTTCTGAGCCAGAAGACCATTCTCTTCCAGCTGAATGATGATGGTGTGAGGTGGGCCATGACAAAAAACCTTGGTTGAAATGTGAAAAGGAGAGACAGCCACTTCATCCCTCTGTGACCTAACCAGTTGATGCAAAGATGCTCACCAAGACCCAAGTTGGAATCCCATCCAGATGAAGCTGCATAGTTGCCTGCGCAAAACACGATACTGTGTCCAATGTCAGAACTGTCTTTCTTGTGTCTAGGTGGGCTAAAAGACAAGCTGGTTAGAACAGTAAATCTGGGCATATATACAGCTTGTACACAGAAGAGCGCCACCAGCCTATGGCCATTATCTGATCTGATGTGAAACCACATTTGGATGCCACGGCAGCCACACTAATACAAAATGAGTGCACCCCAAAGTCCCCAGAGGGGAGGCCTGGTTATGTGATGCAAGCACGCAAGACACTAATGAACTGAAAATATGGCAGGCAGGAGGCATTGGCATGCACAAGATAAGTCCCAGAAATGTTAGACTGGATAGTAAGGTGTTCAGAGGTGTAACAAACAGGGCAGGGGTGACCTCTGGGAGAGGAATGAAGCAAGTTATGGGTACCATGGAAACGCTGGTCCGTCTTGGACCTACACAACTGAATGTGCAACTCTGAACCACTCAGTAAAATGTCCCAGAGGGTGAAGGCATGACCACTGGTATCACTGTGTGAAGCAGCCAAGTAGCTCACTACTTCAAAATGCTCCAAAAATGCTAAAGAACAGGCTGCCTGAAAAAGGTGGCCAGAAGACTGAACAACATCTGGGGGAGCTGCCACATGAATTTCTCTGCAATCGTGCCATGTTTATAGCATGCATTACATGTTTATAGCATGCTTATCGCATGCATTACAGTGCTTGCTGCTCCAAGCAACAGAATAGATACTGCTCAGAAACAGAAAGCTGAGCAACATTCTGCGTACAGATGAACAGGGGTCATTTCGTAGAAAAATAGCTGCAGGAGCTCATTAGCATACAGTATGAGCTACTAGACTATTAGCATAATAGCTCATTAGGATATGCAATGTCGATGCTTGTCATGGTATCTGGATATAGTCAATGTCTTCAGCATCCTTTCCAATCTGGGCATCCAAAGATTCTGTAATTAGTGTTGCCAGTGATTTAACTTGGGACCTTCTCTGTCTCTGCCACTGAGCCATTGATTTCTTCTTTCACATCTCTGGGTTGAGTCTCCAATGCAGCACCTGGAGGTCGGCAATGATGGAATGATAAAAAATGACACCTTTCTGAGCCAGAAGTTCATTCTCTTCCAGCTGAATGATGATGGCGTGTGGTGGGCCATGACAAAAAAACTCAGTTGAAATGTGGAAAGGAGAGACGGCCACTTCATCCCTCTGTGACCTAACTAGTTGATGCAAAGATGCTCACCAAGACCGAAGTTGAAATCCCATCCAGATGAAGCTGCATAGTTGCCTGCGCAAAACATGATACTGTGTCCAATGTCAGAACTGTCTTTCTTGTGTCTAGGTGGGCTAAAAGACAAGCTGGTTAGAACAGTAAACCTGGGCATATATACAGCTTGTACACAGAAGAGCGCCACCAGCCTATGGCCATTATCTGATCCGATGTGAAACCACATTGGGATGCCACGGCAGCCACACTAATACAAAATGAGTGCACCCCAAAGTCCCCAGAGGGGAGGCCTGGTTATGTGATGCAAGCACGCAGGACACTAATGAACTGAAAATATGACAGACAGGAGCCATTGGCATGCACAAGAAAAGTCCCAGAAATGTTAGACCGGATAGTAAGGTGTTCAGAGGTGTAACAAACAGGGCAGGGGTGACCTCTGGGAGAGGAATGAAGCAAGTTATGGGTACCATGGCAACGCTGGTCCGTCTTGGACCTACACAACTGAATGTGCAACTCTGAACCACTCAATAAAATGTCCCAGAGGGTGAAGGCATGACCACTGGTATCACTGTGTGAAGCAGCCAAGTAGCTCACTACTTCAAAATGCACCAAAAATGCTAAAGAACAGGCTGCCTGAAAAAGGTGGCCTTGAAGACTGAACAACATATCTGGGGGAGCTGCCACATGAATTTCTCTAACATAGGCAGTAATGGGTCTGCGTTTATCAGGCTCTTGCAGGGCCAACCTCCTCCAGCCCTCAATGGCACATCATGAGAGAAAAGAGCAGCAGGGATTTTTAAACCCCAGGGCTTTACTGTAAAAAGAAATAGTTGACCAATGAATATTCATGGTTTTAGGGGCAAGCCCACGATCCTTCAGGTGCGCCAGATATTGCAGGAGGCCTGGTTATGTGATGCAAGCACGCAGGACACTAATGAACTGAAAATATGACAGACAGGAGCCATTGGCATGCACAAGAAAAGTCCCAGAAATGTTAGACCGGATAGTAAGGTGTTCAGAGGTGTAACAAACAGGGCAGGGGTGACCTCTGGGAGAGGAATGAAGCAAGTTATGGGTACCATGGCAACGCTGGTCCGTCTTGGACCTACACAACTGAATGTGCAACTCTGAACCACTCAATAAAATGTCCCAGAGGGTGAAGGCATGACCACTGGTATCACTGTGTGAAGCAGCCAAGTAGCTCACTACTTCAAAATGCACCAAAAATGCTAAAGAACAGGCTGCCTGAAAAAGGTGGCCTTGAAGACTGAACAACATATCTGGGGGAGCTGCCACATGAATTTCTCTAACACAGGCATAGTAATGGGTCTGCGTTTATCAGGCTCTTGCAGGGCCAACCTCCTCCAGCCCTCAATGGCACATCATGAGAGAAAAGAGCAGCAGGGATTTTTAAACCCCAGGGCTTTACTGTAAAAAGAAATAGTTGACCAATGAATATTCATGGTTTTAGGGGCAAGCCCACGATCCTTCAGGTGCGCCAGATATTGCAGGATGAAAATCTCAGGGACTGGCAAAGGGTTGGAAAAAAACCACAGACATTGCAAAGGACAGGAAAGCAGAGACAGCATGTTGGTAAGCATGACAAATAGAGGGGGCAAGGGAACCTAAGACTCCCTGGACAATTAATCGTTACCAAGTATCCACAGGACCGTTGGGAAGACATCCGGCTGTTGATTTGCACTGAGGGCCAGACAAGGCATCTGCAATGCTGTAACTGGTGCCTGCAATGT